TGAACTACCTAATGATGATTTATTAGAAGAAGAATCAAATAATGTTGATGCAGTCCCTGCTTATGAAGAGCTAAATCAAAATTAAATAAAATGCTTATGGGTAAATATTCTAATATTATTATATCTATATATTAATTCTATATTGCATGATTGTTAAGTATATCAATATATTTAGATTTTAGTGAAAATAAGCTATAGAATTTGAATCATATTGTTCTCTTACTGATCTAATAAGTCCTATAGAAAAATAATATAATAAAATTAATAATACATGCAATTTTTCATTGGTTGATCTCACTTAATTTTTGTGATACAATAACAGCCAATGATAGGATTTTTATCTATGCTGATAATAATTACTTGATGAAATATCAAATGATTAAAATGGTGGTAATGATGGTGATTAATATGAAATAAACAAAACATTAGACTTTAGGAATGTATTAGAAATAAAAATTTGGCATTTTATAATAATAATAAACTTATCACTTATGTTAACATGTCTAAATAGATCATGAAAACCTTTAAACTTTTGCTTCAAATATTAACCTATCAAAACTAAATTGATCAAGTTTTAAAATACAAGGAAGAATTAAGGCAATATATCAATATATCAATGTAAAAAAAAACAAGTTATAAATTAAGCACTTATTACCAGAATTAGACGATGACGAAGATAATTTGGCTGAATCCTTTAATTTTGGTCAAATTAAATTTTATTTCTATTTTTTTTATTATTTTTATTATTAATTAATCTATTCTTATTTTCATTATTTTTATTACCATAATATATTAATTTTGGTAAAAATTTTATATAGATATTCTAAACCAAACAATCTTAAATGAAGAGAGATTTTTAGATGTTGATGTTGATCAATCCTTTGCTAATAATGTTCATCATGCAGATGACAACAGTGCAAAATGGAATTTAAGTAGTTATTTGTAAAAGAGTTTCTGACACCACATTATGCAAAACTCTAGACAATAAAAATGCTATATAATATTTTTCATTTTTTTAACAAATTTATGGCATAACCATTGATATGTCCAATGGCCAATTTGTCTAATGAGAGTGCCAACTCTGCTTTAATGGAGCGGTTTTATTTTATTTTTAATAATGAAGTTCAATTTTTCTTTTTTTATAACTGTTGTGCGTTCTATGTGAATTTGCAATTCACGTACGTAAAATTCAAATTGGCCAATCAGAATTTCATTTCATATCCAAACACCCCACCCCAAAATTTTAGTTTCAATTTCACATATGACATAACCATGAAATACTTGGTAATACAAATGTTCAATAAATGAATGGTCTTTGACTCGACTTTTTAAGTGTTCTTTTTCGCTTTCGCCTTCACAGCCATTTTCGCCTAAATTTAAAATGTTGAGTTAAAGAAATTATTGAATAATAAGATAAAACTCACCTGAAAGAAAATTACATATCAAATTTATTCGAGTTTTTTTGTGAAACCGTTCACTCAATAAATAGTATTATAAACACAAAAATATTCTATATAAAAATTAAAGGAAAAATCTCACTGTAAAAAAAAAGAGCAAAGGCTGCAAGGATTATTAAAAGAACTATTTTATAAAAACTTTTGGCTCCCAAAAATGCCTGGTCGTATGCTTTTCCGATATACTATTGATGAAGTGATAAAACATAATAAAACTTCTGACCTTTGGGTAATTCATAGGAATAAAGTTTATGATGTAACAGACTTTGTATATGATCATCCTGGAGGACCAGAATTACTTGAAGAATGGGCAGGAAAAGACATTTCGAAAATCTTGTCAGATCCTGATTCACATTTACATTCTGAAGTGGCTTATCAAGTATTGTCAGAATCATGCATAGGAGAGATTATTCAAAATGGTAATGAATATATTTATTAGCGAAAGTTGCATGTTTATTATTATTATTAATAATTGAAATATATATATATAGCACATGGATGTGAACAAAAAAAAACAAACGTAGTCCATGATTATCAAAAAGAAAAGTTTTTGGATTTAAACAAACCATTATTTTCACAAATGCTTAATTATAATTTCAACAAAGAATTCTACCTCAACCAAATTCATCGACCTCGTCATATTTCATATTCAGCTAAATTATTCGGAAATGATTATTTAGAATTATTGACAAAAACACCTTGGTACATTATACCAATTGTATGGATTCCTATAGTAATTTATCATGGATATATTGCATCAAAAACTTTAAATTCAACAACATTTTCTATTTTATTTTTAAGTGGTATTGTAATTTGGACTTTGTTAGAATATGCCTTACATAGATTTTTGTTTCATATTGACAAGTTTTTACCTGATCATCCTTATGCACTTACATTGCATTTCACAATACATGGAATACATCATTACCTACCTATGGATAAGTTAGTATATAACAAATTATTATTGATAGTAATATTTATTAAATTAAATATACTCTAACGTATACATATATAAAAACTTATATACAGACTTAGGCTTGTTATGCCGCCAGTGCTTGGAGGATCAATTGCATATCCAATAATAAAATTAGAATATCTGTTGCTTCCTGAAAGTATTTCATGTGCTATAATTGCTGGCGAAGTTTTCGGCTATATTTGCTATGATTTGACACATTATCATCTCCATCATGCTCAACCATTTGGCAAACATTTCCAAACAATGAAGAAATATCATTTAGCACATCATTACAAAAATTATGAATCAGGTTATGGAATTACAAGTAAGGTATGGGATATGGTGTTTGGTACAGAATTAGGGTAATCTCATTCGGTAATTGTCATTATAGTCATCATTATTACAATGATATTACATTATTAATTAAATATCCAAGCTATTTAAATTATAAAAAAAATAAAAAAATATAAAAATGATTTTAAAATTGAATATATTTGTTTATAATATTTTAATACTAATATTGTTTGATTATTAGCAGATATCATTATAAATTTTATTTGCAACAATAAATCATACACATTATAAAAAAGGAAGATGTGAAGAATAATATTTAGTACGTAGAAAATTTTTAATTTAAATTTAAGGTTACAAGCAGCAATGACAGAGAAGACCAGAGTAATATGGAGTCAGTCCTGAGAGCAAATGTGGAATCTCATCCAACTCAGTCCAAATATACCAAGTCACCCAAAGTCCATCCGACAGTCTCTTCAAGTATGTTGTAACAGATGTACTCGAACATAAGTGAGGTGATCGTCCAGTTCGATTTTGCATTACAGTTTTTTATTAGTATATTAGCATCCGAATTAACAATGTTGTTATCTCAGTCATATGACATGAGTTTTATGATAAATTATTTTTAATAATTATGAGATGAGCACGGTCATCGAGATCAATGGCAACAAACAAACATTAAGATCAAACATTAACCCAATAACATTAATACTAACAATAAATTCAGCATATATACACACTATAAATTGTTTCAATTTTTGCAAATTAAGTAAAAGGATTTTCAAATCAAGATCAAAATACTCCAAATTAGGAAACTATTTGTATACCAATGATTTTTTTTAAATTATCTCGGCGATAGATTGTGTAATAGCTATCAAATCTGTTTTTTATAATACAAGTCACTTAGTCCCGTAACTTTTTATTGGTCATGTAGATCCTTCGAATCCTTCGAAAATGGAAATGCAACACCCCAAAATAAATCGTGTTTTTGAGACCTCCCTCTACAAAGTTACGATTTCATCTTGTTGATATGTCATGTTGTTGTGGAGGATCTGAGCTTCAAAGTTTCACAAGTTTACCGAGTTTACTATGTATAGCCCTGAAATTGACGCAAATTGAAACAAAATAAAAAATTTGAATTTTTTCCCTCACATTGCAGATCTTTTATCACATGAATTTCCAAATAATTTATTCTTTATATATATATAAAAAAAAACACAGCAAACAGCTAAATCCATTTATTTCAAATTTAATAAATAGGCTATTCCGTTGATCAAAGAAATGTGCAAAACATATACTTGCTATCTCCCACCTAGCACCAAAAATATATTTCATGGAAATATATTTCATTTCTATTATTAATGTCATTATTTTAACTAGTAATGAATGGTATTATATTATTATTTCCGATTTACTTACTATTTATGAAATGACCAGGAAATATCACATGACCAAACAATTTTTATTGCATTTTTGATTGGACTAGGTGACTTGCACCATAGATACCGTAAGATAACACCCCCGAAAGATAGTACCCACACTACTTTAAAACAATTGAAAAGTCATTTGTAAAAAGGGGTGCTATCTTTCAAGACTTTACGGTAAGCAGTCCAGTGTAACCAATGCAGATTTCTATAAATTTAGAAACCTTCTGCGGAAAATTTACTAATGTACGACGTCACACTCCCACATTCCCGCCCGCATTGAATTTTTATTTGTGACCCGCACTATATACGTTTGCAGATCTTATTTTCAAAAATCTATTACTATGGTTTCTTTCTATGGATATCAAACTCAGGGATTTATTGTGACCAAATGGTTATTGTCTAAACAGGATATTCATTATAATATATAGCTTGAAAATTCCGATGGAACTCCAATCCCCAAATCCTTATTTGAAAAATACATTACGTGTAACGTTCATTCTGAATAATTTGTACAAAATTGGCGCATATTTAATAACAACAACAATAAAGATTTATTAAATATTTAGTAGTCTCAAATGTGTGTATTACTTTGTGAAATTTTCTTTGAATAATTATTCAAACAACAACATTTTCTCTATGAACGGTTTGATGTATATAATAAGAACCGAAATATGAGCCATTTATCAACGGAACAACCTGAAATTTTATTTGGTGCGTTATGTTCACTGTAAATTTGTCTTCGAATGAATCACTCATTATGTTATTATTTACCATATATATACTAACTATAAATATTATTCCCACGGGTTTCATTTAAATTTAAATTTTACATCTTTTTTTTTCCAAAAATTTTTTTTCAATTACGAAAAAAATATGCCACCATTTTCATCATCGTCATTATCATTAGACGAAAGCGACGACGAAGAAGCAATATACGAGCCACTTTTACCCAGAACTCATAATAATAAACGCAAATTCTGCGTAAAATGTTTAGGATTTTTATATTGCCTTGGTGTGACGATCTTTTTGTTGATAGCAATCATCTCAATAATAGATTTGTTTCAACCATCTGAACCAATTTTAATCAATGATATTTCAATCATTCCCAATCAATATCATTTAAAACAAATAGGAAAGCTTTTAACTGATGCATGTATACTATAGATTTTTATTTTTATAAAATGTGAATTAATATTGTTATTATTATTATTTTTTTTAGGTGAGCTTTGTTCTAGATGCGATTATGTTATTGATTCACTTTCCATTGATGAAAATAAAACTTTACACGAAAAAAAGAACAACAATGAGTCATCTTCGATTGTTGCATCATCATCATCATCATCATCATCATCATCATCATCATCATCATCAATTACATTGGCCAAATTAACATCCACATCTAAATGGTATAATATTTTTTCGCGCAAATATTCAATTAGTGAATTTCATTTTAATCACACCTTAAATACAACGAATGAAGTTTCAACCGCCATTACAACATATGGTTGGTGGTATGGTAATATCGAAATCAGATTTCCTGCTGCAATTGATACTGCGATCATTTCAAAAGAAGAAGATGATGATGGTGATGGTGACGATGATATATTGAAACAATCTTGTGTGTACAAGATCAGCATCACCACATTTTTACATCAAGGTAGCATATTTAAGAAATGTGAAAATAATGGAGATTTGGAATTTTATAAGATTTCTTTGGTGACCGGAAATATGAAAAGAGGGTTGGAATTCTTTTCTCCTGATAAATCAATTGCATTTGCGAAAACAATGAGAACAAACTCAAAATTCTCTTCAACTCCTGAAAGGTAACTAAATAAATGACAACTGAAATTGTTTTATTTACTTGATCTCTAATATTTTCCTTGATATTTTTCCCTATTAGAAATGTTACCATTAATGAGAATACACCATTTCCAAACATATTGGTTGCCATTTATACCGTCTATCATGATTTGGCAGTTAGTAGTAGATCATGATGATTATATATTCTTATTGTTCTTATTAGATTTGATTAGATTGATTATAATTATTGTAATTATTTATTTTATTATCAACTTGTACTTTTGTAATGAGATTCTTTTAGAAAAAAAAGTCATTAAAAAATTGTAAATTGTTATTTTTACGCCAACGCAAAATTGCAAGGGGGAATATAGGTTCTATATATCAAGGTGATGTTACACGTTAACAGAATAGTAAAACAGGTTTTTTACGTTATATACATATATATATATATATTAATAATAACTACCAATTGAAACTACTGAAAGTTTAAATAGCGGCATCACCACTTTTAATACCGTAATTAGGTAAAGTCAATATACAAGTATGAAAAGAACAGTAACTTTTATCTATTAAATTAAAATAATTTTGGGCATTGATTATCAAAAATAGCCTTTGTGGCGCAGAATATGTCTAAGGGGAATGTGCAAATGACCTCATATGGGCACTCCCCAAGATTGAATTTTATTGGTTGCACAATTAATTCAGCCAATTTGCCCGACAAATAAATATATTAATATCATACGAAAGATTTGATTTTTTTATTAACAATATAATAATTTCTTTCTCCAAAAAAAATAAATCAATAAATTATTATAAAATGTCTAATCGTAAGAAAGTGCTTTTAAAGGTAAATAAATAATGAAAATCAAACATTGTATATATATATATATTATTAAAATTTTCTTATGGGACTTCTAAAATTTACTTCTTTCTTTCCTTCAATCCTTTCCTCCTTAAATTCTTAAAAGGTAATAATTTTGGGTGATAGTGGGTAAGTTACATATATTAAAACCGTTTCGCGAGATTATAAAGATCTGTCGAATATATACATACATATATGTATATAACAAAGCTATATTTAGTAACGTTAATATATTTATTAATATTATTAGTGTTGGAAAAACGTCTTTAATGAACCAATATGTGAACAAAAAATTTACAAACCAATATAAAGCCACTATTGGGGCTGATTTTTTAACTAAAGAAGTTTTGGTTGATGATTGTCTCGTAACAATGCAGGTATATATAATAAATTCACTAGAGTAGTTCATGCATTCATTTACTCATTCATTCAGTTCAAACGTTTAATTCATTATATATAACTATTTAAATAAAAGATATGGGACACTGCAGGACAAGAACGATTTCAATCATTAGGTGTTGCATTTTATAGGGGAGCTGATTGTTGTGTTCTTGTTTACGATGTCAATAATGGCAAGAGTTTTGAAACTTTAGATAGTTGGAGAGATGAATTTTTAATCCAGGCTTCTCCTCGTGATCCTGAGAATTTTCCTTTTGTTGTTTTGGGCAATAAGATTGACGTCGAAGAATCAAGAAGAATGGTAACGATTATTATTATTATTACCTATTATTATTACCGTTGTTATCAATAGTATTATTTCAATGATTCAATTTATACCATAATTAATATCTATCCATCTATTTATATACACATCTTAGGTATCTCCAAAACGCGCCATGACTTGGTGCCAGTCAAAAGGAAACATTCCTTATTTTGAAACAAGTGCCAAAGAATCAATCAATGTAGAGAATGCATTCATGACAATTGCTAAAAATGCTTTGCAACAAGAAAATGATGCAGAAATGTATGTTGATTCAGTTTATATTTTATAATGGATATATATGTTTCTATTTAACAATTCACTAATAATCTATTTTATAACTGTGTGTGTAAATAGATACAATGATTACACGGATGCGATCAAAATTGATAGCGAAGCTCTCAATGATGGGTGTGGATGTTAATTAATTATATTTTTCCTCCGCAAAAAATTAAATTTTGAAATAAAAGTTAAGTGAAAACGAGAAATTCTTCAAGGACTTTTGTCTGGTTTTAAGATCTTGATTTTTTTTTATATTGTTATTAATAATTATTATTTCGAAAAAGAAAAATTGATAGATTTTTTCCTTCTTTTAAATCTTTAGTTAATTACAATTATATATATATGTGTGTGTCATTAAACTATATTTATAAATTAATATTTAATATATCTTTATATTTTTGCTTTAATTATAGTTTTTATTTAAAATTTTTGTATTCAACATTTAATTGCTACTTAAGGATTTCTTTGTTTATTATACCTTTCAATTATTTTATTTTTGTGCCAGTAGAAGAAATATTGTGGTGATGGTGAGATTAAAATTAATAATTTGTTTATATAATATTTACTTTCCCGTTTTTTCTTTAGTATTAATTGTGGAACACAACAATTCTAAAATGGCAAAACTAACATGTCATTATTAATACTAATACTAACACTAGATTTGCTTTGCCCTACCATTTTTTCCATTTGAAGATAAATAAATGGGTCATTAGAGACTCGCATAATTAAAATTTTGATGAATTAATAAAAAATTTGATATTATGTAATGCCATTTTGCTATTTACCACCTTGAAATTTCCTTTTAAGAAAATTAGCAGCGTCAAATAATAGTTCCTATCCCAAAATTGGAGTTTATCAAAATAAATCTCACAATCATTAATAATATTGATATTTAATAATACATTATTATTAAAACTTGTGTCCGTTCAGCCCCAGTGTTTAACTGGATTTATCAAAAAAAGCAGGAATTTTGTAATGATATGTCAGATTAAGTGAGATTGTGTAAGTGACAAACCATATTTTGTGACTATTTCGAATTGACACAACAAGATTTGATTTTGCATTACTGTATCCTCCCTCTCTCAACCAACATCAAAAATAATATAAATTTTACTTTTTTGTACTGTTTAAAAAAAAATTTTAATCTAATTAAATTTTTTCAAAAATGTATTCTTTAAAAACCACACCCTCTCCACCATCCTCTCCACCATCAGCCTCATCCTCTGCTTTTACAACCACAAAAATTGATAAACCTTCCCTGCCTCCTACCACACCAAGAAGGAAGTCCATAGTAGTATCCGATGAAGTAATAATCAATAGTATTGTTACCGGTAGTATTGTATCATCTGGCTCATATCCGAGTCATGATAATAATAATCATTACAATAACAATAACAATAATCATTCAATTCAAGCCTCATACAAACAATCATCATCTGATCAAATCAATGGAAATCGTCCATCGTATTCTTCAATAAAAATAAATCCTCATACTAAAGAAATTTTTGTTGAACCTTCTCTTGCTGAAGGTACTCCTCTATTAAAAGTTTCCGCAAAGAAGAAAAAACAAAAGATTTTTAGAATCGATGTAGGTCAAGGTCGTATATTATGGGATTCCAAAAAATCAGGAAAAGGCATGTCGTTCTATACATTCATACATTTAATCAATTGAAATTGAAATTTTGATTATTAATACTTTTACAAAAAAAATAAAATAAAAATAAAAATAAAAATAAAAATAAATACATTAGTCAACATCGAAAATATCAAAGAGCTTCGGGTTGGTGAAGCAATAAGAAGTTATAGAGAACAATTTAAGCTCAGTGTGGACTATGAATCACGATGGTTCACTATTGTTTATATTGATTCAGGAAAATATAAAACACTTCATCTTGTTGCTCCAACACCTAAATTGTTTAATACTTGGGTGGACAACTTGGAGAAACTTTATTTGCACAGAAAAGATTTAATGGGTGGTTTGGGCCATTTGAGAAAACGTCAGTCTGTTTGGTTAAAACAACATTGGAAACAAGCGAATAAAGATGGCGATTCAAAATTAGGGTTTGATGAGGTGGTTAGATTGTGTCGTCAATTAAATATTAACATGTCAAAAGCATCTTTAAGAAAACAATTTGATGTGAGTAGAATGAATACGTATATATATATATGTGTGTTTATTTATTTATTTATTTATTTATTATAATAAATATTTCATTGATAATAATAATTATTTATAAAGGAAGCTAATGATAATAGGAACGATTGGCTGGATTTTAGTGATTTTAAAAGGTTTGTAAAAATAATCAAGAGAAGGACCGAATTAGAAGAATTATTTACTAGATTAGCAACAGCACGTGAATCGGTTTTAACTTTAATAGAATTCAAGAATTTCCTAATAGATTATCAAAAGGTACTAATTATTTAATTATATTAATAATAATAATAATAATAATAATAATAACAACAACAAAAACACTCATTACATGCATAATAACCATTGTTGCGTAGTGTAATTTAAAGGAGTTAGAATATGAAAATTTATACTTAAAATTTTGTAATAAAAACACAAAAGAAATGACATTAGAGGGTTTTAGTAGTTTTATGATGTCAAGTGATAATCCTACATTTTCATCAGAACATGCAAAAATTTATCAAGATATGGATCAACCTTTATCACATTATTTTGTAGATTCCTCTCATAATACGTAAATTAATTATAAAATCTATAAATTATATTAGTTCATCATTATTATATTTATTAAATTTATATACCACCCATTAATTTCTTTTTCTTCAATTATTATAGATATCTTCTTGGCCATCAATTAACAGGTGAATCATCCGTAGAAGGTTACATACGCGTATTACAAAGAGGATGCAGATGTGTTGAAAGTATGTTTTATAATAATAATAATAATAATAATAATATCATAATGCTACAATCGACAACAATAATAATATATTTTTTATAGTTGATTGTTGGGATGGGCCTGACGGACCTGTAGTCACACATGGTCGTACTTGGTATAATATTTATAGTATTCATATCTCAATTTAAAATTTATCATTGGTGATTCTTTGCTGGTTTTATTGAAAAAAAATTTATATCTTTCGTTTTAGGACATCTAAAATTTTATTTCAAGATGTCATATCAGTTATTCGCACTTATGCATTTAAAGCTAGTCCTTATCCACTCATTTTATCACTTGAAGTTCATTGTTGTATTGAACAACAAGGCCAAATGGCCTTTATACTAAATAATCTTTTAGGAGAAAGTTTGGTCACTAAATTTCTATACGATGATGAAACAACGTTACCAAGTCCTAAAAGCTTGATGCATAAAATTCTATTAAAGGTAAAAACGGTCAATTAATTATGACAGGGAGAAAATATTCTAGAAATACAGCAATAATAATAACAATTACAACAATAAAATTATTCATTCATTAGGGAAAAAATCTTCCATCAGATGCTCCCGATGATTTTTTTGGTGATTCTACTACTGATACTGAATCAGCTACCGATAACGAATCAGATGTTGAACCATCAAAAAATGATAAAAAACCAAAGGACAAACCAAAAAAGGAAAAAACTCGTGTTTCCAAAGCGCTTTCTGATTTAATAATTTATTGTTCAGCTACCAAATTTAGAGGATTTGAGTATCATCGTGGTTAGTGTCTTTCTTTTTTTTTTTGAAAACATTGTCAATTAAAAAATTCACGCTTCTGTTTCTTCCCTGCATCTTTTTTTTTTTTGTTAATAGAAAATTCATCATACTATCATATGTCATCTTTTTCTGAGAAAGTTTCCACGCGTCTTTTAAAATCAGAAAAATTGGCATTCATTCGACACAACACAAAACATCTATCACGGATTTATCCTGCAGGTTTTCGAATAAATTCATCAAATTACGAACCACATCATCAATGGATAGTTGGTAGTCAATTGGTTGCATTGAATTGGCAAACATTTGGTTGGTTATTTAAAAAACAAAAAGAAAACAAAATTAATTTAAAGCTTAATGTCTAAAAAAGATATTATTAATCATTTCTATTAGACCTTGGAATGCAGATTAATCAAGCTATGTTCGCTGTGAACGGTAGGTGCGGATATGTTCTCAAATCAGATAGATTACGTAATCCAGATTTATGTTCATCATCGGATCAACCAAAACCAAGAACCTTATCAATAGAGGTATTAAAAAAAAATTTTAATATTAATATAAACGTGTAACTCGAACGAAAATTAAACTATATATAATTTCCTTCAACATACAAAAAATTTAATAAATAGATAATTTCAGCTCAACAGCTTCCCAAACCAAAAGAAGCAACTAAAGGAGAAATAATTGATCCGTTCGTTGAGGTTACGCTGTTAGTTCCAAATTCTGAGGCCGTAATAAAAAAAACTAAAACAATATCAGACAATGGATTTAATCCAATATGGAAGGAGAAGTTATCATTTACAATTGAATGTGAAGAAATTGGCCTGGTTTTTTTACGGTAAGATTTTTTTAAAATAAATATTAAAACAAGCTTACATTCTATTAATTGTTTATTAAACATGCATATTTTATTTATTTCAATTTACTAATTAATTAATTTTTTCAATATAATTTTTTATTCGTATCAAAGATTTTGTGTTTTGGATGAGGATGTTAGAACGAACGATTTCATAGCATATTATTGTACACCTTTAACTAGTTTACAAATGGGTAGGATGTGAAATGTTATTGAATTGCTAATTAATAATTATACTGATTATACCAAATATATTAATTACAGGGTACCGTCATATTCCACTTCAGGATATGAATGGAGAACAATATCTTTTTACGACGTTATTTATTTGTTCTTCATTTAAATAAGCCTGCTGGCAACTAAAATTATTATTTATTTATTTTAATTTAATATAATCATATCACAAACTTTTTCTTTTGTTTAAGTTTGTAATATATAGATGATTTTTCCTTTAAAAAAGGAGAACATGATTTAAAATTTTCTTTTTCCTTTCCTTTCCTTTTCTTTTCTTTTTAATTTATAAAATTTCTAGGTTTATTGCATATACATATATAATATATATATGAGTCTGGAATTAATTAATTAATAGATACAATAGAATTTGACATTATATATGTATATAAATTTAGTTATTCTGCTTTATTATTTTTATCATGTAAAAACTAGTTTACAATTGTGAACGCAAAATGAAAAAAATAAAGTTTACTTTCTTCTCGGTTTCTCTGCTTGGAAAAACATATAACGAATGATCAGTTATTTTGTTAAATCTCCCTGAACAGAAGGATCTTGAAAAGTGTGTCGTCCAATATATGTTGACTGGTGTTAATGGTTTGTAGTAGATGTATAGGTTCTTGGGAAGGGTGGTAAAGTGGAATGAGAAGTTGAGAGCAATCTTGATGCACCAGCAATAGCAATGAATGAGGATCATACTATACTCCTTCCACCTTGAACATATCTTTTGCAGTCTGAATTCCATTTTGCCATACTACACAATGTTCTTCATTGTCTGAAATGGGATTGACCAGGGTACTTCTACATAAAATCTCCTTTATAAAGAGGTGCTTCTTGAACAGGGTTTTGTTCGGCTTTTCTTTCATAAGGCTGCAATTTCACATCTCCAGGTTTGATGAAGCAAGCTTACCTTTGATTCGAGGATTTGGACTAGCTTTTCAGTATCAATTTCCGGCTGTGCTGTTTGAGATTCTAATTTCAGGATCACCAAAGAATTCATGCACAAATTCACGCTCTTCTTCATTTAAACACGTAAAGAACGGGGTTTTCCCTTGATCCTTTTTCAAAATGCTTCCAACAATGCTGTAATTTTAGGTTCCATAGTTGATTTGATGTAAAAATAAAAATTCGATTCTATTTTAGAGATGAATCCAACCAATCAGAACACATTGAACATATCCGTGTAGATCAGATAAATAAAAGATGATCAATCACCCACTCGTTCATAAAATTTTTTTTTTAAAAAAATGACATCATCATCTTATAATTTCACAATTATTGATTCAAGCATAGCAGCAATGATTTCAAGAATCATCACACATCCACTTGACACTATTAGGGTGCGTCTTCAAACTTCTACAGCAGTGAATTCTAATATTAATAATTTTGTTGTTTCTGCTGCCAAAATTAATGTTAGAACGTCATATTTTCGTAATTTGTACAAATATTCTATTAGACGCTCGCCTCTAATTATGCTGATTCGTAACACATCATTAATGGATTATTATAATGGATTATTGGTAGCAACATTGCTAGGCGTGCCAGCTTCATCAACGTATTTATACATATATGACAAATCAAAATATTATATATCAGACAATTTTGGAATAAGAGATGACAAGATGATAAATCATATGATTAGTGGAACTATAGCAGAGATAGTTAGTGGGGCTTTTTGGACGCCAATGGAAGTTTTAAAAAGTAAACTGCAAATTCAAGATTCAACCAGTGGCAGCAATACATTATCAATGATAAAAAGAATAGTTAGAATAGATGGAGTTTTAGGATTTTTTCGTGGATATTGGATGTCATTATATGTTTATGTACCACATACGATTTTATATTTTACAACTTATGAGAAACTTAAACAAATTAATTTTCTAAACAAAAACAATACTAGCAGTAATAGTAATATTGACTATGCTATCTATTCAAGTATATCAATTACAATAGCAGGATCAATATCAAATATTCTAGATGTGGTCAAGACAAGATGGCAGACCATATTTTCTAATCAACAATCAATCAAATCACCCATTGATATTATTAAATCAATGTATATTAATGAGGGTGGATTGATTGCATTTACTAAAGGAATGAGTGCAAGGGTTCTATGGATGATACCAAGTAGTTCTATTAGTATGACAGTATATGAAATATTAAAAAATAACAGAAACAATTTACAAAACAACAAAGACAATTATAATAACAATGGGATTTAAAATGAATTGGTTTTTATAATTTTTTTTGGAAAGAAACAAGTTTATAATCTATTATTATGAAAGTAAGCATTACGCATTATATAAAAAAACGTATTACTATTAATCTCTTCGATTATATATAGAGAGCAACAGTGAAAGGTTTACTTTAGATGCCTAAAAGAATTTCATACATATTATTTATGTGAAACAGATGGAATGAAGACATGTTTATATATTGTGATTTTTGTTTTTTGTTTTATTAATTAATATTTAATACAAAGAAAATTTGAAAAACTAGGGAGCGAGAACGATTCTATTAAATATGTCATCTATCAAACTAAGTGTAAATGATTCTTCACTTTGTTTTTGTTGAGTATAAATAATTCATAAAATCTATTCATCACTCTCTTATTTCATTTTTTTATTGTTTTCAGGTAATTAATGTGTTTGAGCAGTATATGATAAAAAAATTGTTTATTTAATTTTTTTTTTTTTAGAATATTTGAAAACTAGATGTAATAAATATTTTCCAAAAAAAATATAACGGGCGTGGATTTTTTTTACGTCGATCATTTGTATGGAAATGTTAATCACATTAAAAAATGTTTATTTCTTTCTTCTTCCTCTTCTAGTTCAAATACTAAATTCCATAAATAATTGGAAACTTCATATTCATCCGATGCATTATCTATTATCGCGACATTGATATCATCATTTCCTTCTACAATAATAATAATTGTTATAATTGTAGGAAAAATAAAATAATGATGATACAAATAAATTATATTTACCAATTATTACTTTTAATTTTTGAGTATCTGGATTTTCAAAAAAACGAATTCCCAATTTACGAAGCAATGCCAATATAAGTCTTTATAAATAAACAAATATAAGTCTTCAGTATTTACTCTCTCGTTAAACCAATCAACAACAATATTATCAATTACTAACAAAGAGTAATCTTCTTTTTTCAACCCTTTAGCATCAAAATCTTCTTGTAACATTTTCGATTCTTTTTTTAAATTTTCATAATCTAAATTTAAAGTTGTATATTCATTAAAAGAGTCAAGAAATAAATAAATATTTATTTATTATAATAACACACGATTAACTATTGATGTAAAAGGATATTGGATTTCTTTGTCTAAATTTAATATTGATGACGACAAATTAGATTTGATTGATTCATAATTATGTTTACCAACATTATTATTGTTATTATTATTGGCATCAAAATCATCACAATGTTCCAATTTGTTCACTTCAATTTTTAAATTTTCCAATTTTTTGTCCATACCTTGTATATATATAAATATAAGGATTATATTTATACATACATACGTACATATATATATATATATATACACACACTCATATACACTAATAATAAAAACACTTTTGCTTACTTTTTATCTCATTTTTTATAATTTCAGATTTATGATGCATTATTTCCTCTCGTTTTCTAACATTTTCTAAAGTCTCTCTAAACATATTTCTACAAACACTAATATTACCACTAACATTACCACCAATGCCAGTCTTGTTACAAATATTGTTATAGTCCTTCATAATATGTAACAGTTCATGAATATGATTATCCATTTTTTTTATCTAATTTTGGTTTGTTTTTAATTTTTCAATTTTTAGAAATATGAATACGATCATCATAAAACGCGTGTTATAGCATAGTGGAAGTTTGTTGTTACACGAAATGTTATACAGAACTCATTGCTTCACTAGTATATAGTTGTTACCTCTCTAAATTGGAGATCAAGTTCAGATCCGATTCAAATCCAATTCATCACTTACTTTTTATTGCCAGAATGTTTGCCGTGTATTGTAAAGTTACGTTGCACAATATAAAAAATTAGTGCAACATTTCAAATTTCCACTATGCTGCGTGTTATCTGTTATATTAATATACAAAATACATTCAATTTTTCACAAATACTTTAACTTAAAGCTATATGTATACGGTAGCTCTGCGTACTTCATCATGGTTACTATTTAGGACAATGCTCGAATGAAGATTTTTATAATTAAATAATTTTTTAATATTAATAAATAAAACCTTTGCTATAATATTAACTTGCAAAAAAAAAAAAATACAGATATTCGATGATAATAATGATACATGCAGTTCATAGTATTTTTGAATCTCATGGTAACTATATCTACATGATGTAAGGTTAACTAACATCTTTGTCTCGTATTAGAAGAAAACTCCAGAGAATCAATAGGCATTATTCTTCTTAAAACCAACCTTCATTTAATAATTATATTAATACCAAAAATCTTTATTTCTTTCTTTGCAATGCAAAAAAATAAATGAAGGATTTTAGGGATTATATTTATTCAAGAAAGAATTGTTTTGAAGGTACATGAGTTTCAGAGTTCTTTTTATACATATTACAATTTTATCAATGAAAACCAATTAACTGGTTTTATCGTTGGCGAAGCGGTAAATTAACTATATGCGGCATAAAACACTTTAAATAGTACTTTGGATATTTAGAATTTTTATTCTTTGTTCTGAATAATAAAAATTGGTTAGTATATTAAAAAAACAAAATAGTTGCATAATTAACGCACACATTATAATTACTTCTTGAACGATTCTAGTCTTGAATCAATACCATATTCACTTAATATATTTCTAATGTTAACGATGGTGGTTGCACAATAGCCCAGACTTATCTCAACTCTATTGATGTAATAAAATAGAATGCCATGTTATCTATCTATCTTTCAACACAATGACAAAATACATTCTTCAAAAAAAAAAATAAACATGGAAAAACTTAAATCCAAGATGATTAGTTCTAAAATCTGGATGTGATCAGAATATCCAAAATGTGGCAAATTTTGTAACTCTTTCATAATCGCAAATTTCATTTGGGGTAGTTATTGGATAATTCCTTTGCACAAGGAAAGTTATCCATCAACATGACAAGTTCCAAGACAATATTTGTATTAAAATAAAATATCAAATTAATCTGATTCATTCTTGTTAAATGTTGAAAAATTATTATTACAATTTAATGAATGAATAAGAATAAATAAATTGAATTGTTATAAATTTTGTTGTATGTTTAGACGATTTGTAAGAACAGATAATATTTCTTCACTTGATCGTTCAATTTTTAAACGAGCTAAAGCATCACCTCGTGTCTTTCCTAAATTAAGGATAATAACATGACTTCCTAATTCTTTTGCCAAAAACACAAGTCTATATGCTGAATACGTAGTAAGCGTCGATCCAACAACCATTAATATTTTGTTCCTTAAAATGATTTCGGTTGATTTTTTTCTAACTTCAGGCCTAATATTTTCACCAAAGAACACCACTGAAGGTTTATAAAGTCCTGATTCACATTGTTCGCATGATGGATAATTAAAATTTTCATAGGTAATGTTTGAAGGTAATTCAATATCACCATCAGGGTTTGTTTTAGGATTGGCCTTGGACATTTCCAAAATTTTGGAAAATTCTACCCATTTTGGATTCAAATTCATTAATATCTCTTGATAATCTGGCCGTCTTTTCTTGAAGCCACATTTTAAGCAATGTACCTCATGTAATGTTCCATGTAATTCTAAAACATTTTGAGTTCCTGCAGCTTGAAGAAGCCCATCTACGTTTTGTGTAATAACATCTTGAATATATCCAAGCGATTGCAATTCTTTAATTGCAAAATGCGTTTCATTTGGTTTTGCTGAATATATATTTTTCCATCCAAAAAATGACCTAGCCCAATAACGTTGTCGAATATGATGATGTGAAACAAACTTTTATGTATATAGATATATTTATTATTTATTCAATTATAAATTTAATTGAAGATAAAGAGAATGAAAATATTACTTCATTATATAATATTGACTTGTAACTTTTATTTGTTTTATAAACTCCCTATATATATATATATATTTTATAGTATATTATAATAATAAATTGAATAATAAATAGTTGATTTAAAATAATTAGTTTGTTTTTTACATTTATTCCACGATAATCAGGTATTCCAGAAGCTGTACTAATTCCTAAATAATTACAAACATCCTTCTTAGCCTAATTGTATAATACGATAATAGAAAGAGATACTTTAAAAAAGAAAAACCTATATATTACATACCTGCACCACTTAATATTGATAATTTTCCTTTATTCTCTTTAAAAAAAATCGCCAAGTTATTTATTGAATCATCGTTGGAAATTGATGTTAAATTTTTATAAAAAGTTTTCAAATTCTTCAAAATCATATGTGCAAAATTTTTGTAGATCACTACATATTTATTTTTAGTGTGTATAAAAAATAAAAACAAACTGGGGGAATTTCAACTACCTGAACAAAAATGGTTTCATCGGTTTCATCACCTTCAACTTATCCTTTAAAAGGAATTTATTTTTTCTTTTCAAATTGGATCCTTGTTCGAAGAGTTATAGTTATATTAATAATTACATTATTAGCGTCTCTTGTAACTTTGGGTCTCGTCTTTGGTTTTCTTTTAAAACTTCAAGCACATGCATTAATATTTGCTAATTGCCCAGCTTGGATAGCTTGGATAGTTTCAGTAATTTTTTGTTTGCTGGAAAGTGTGGTTATCGTTATTATTATATATTTAATTATTACTCCTATTTGGCAAGATGCTTTATTTGACGATGTTTTAAGATTGAGAGGATTAAATCATGTATTGGAAAGAAAAGGAAGACCATCCGATTTGGTATTATGCTGCCGTGGTTTATGCTCGGGTCTTTTTTTGTTAATGTTCCAAATATACGTTTTAATATTAATTCAGGTATTAATTTAATCATTACTACTACTACTACTGATATAATAATAGTAAATAAAATTAATAACAAGTTTCTTTCTCTTTCTTTTTAAAAAAAGATAATAACGCTTTTAATCACAATGCCATTACATTTATTTCCAGTCATTGGAACATTTTTATATTGTTATTTGAATGGATGGATAATGACATGGGGTCATCAAATACATTATCATTTGGAAATTAAACATTGGAGTGTTAATCAATCAAGAAAGTTTGCATGGAGGAATCGTGAAGATTACATACAGTTTGGTGCTATAGCAGTTGCACTGGAATTAATACCAATATTAAATCTCGTATTCTTCTGGACAAACGTTGTCGGAGCTGCATTATGGACAGCTGATGTAAGTTGGGAGTTTTAAAAAAAAAAAATCTAATAATATTAATAATATAGCAATAATAATTATTAAATTACTCATAGGTTATTGTTCATGAAGAACAAAATAATTTAATAAGAAATGATGCGGATGGATTCAACGGTTCACACACTCTAAATGATCCAACATCAACATCTTCATCTTCATATAAAGCTGCTCAAAGAATGAACAATGATGGATATGGTGTTGTAACTGTATAATATTTTAAATTTAAAATTTATTTATTTTGTGAATTTAATCTTTTTTTTTTTGATTTCTTTTATAATATCATATTACAACTAATTGCTATCATTGTTATTATTATTATCATTATTATAAATTTTTTTCAAATTGACAATCTTTGGATATTATGAATTATCTTAGAAAAGTAATAGTTAAGAAGATCCATCTTATTTCCATAGTCATCATGAAAGATGACTTTTAAAATCGTTGTTGATCTACAGGATGGAGGACATAACATGCTTTTTTTGGAATGTAAGATGATCTTTGACTTTGTAAGATCTATAATATATTGATCAAGATCAAACTATCATTTCTGATTTGATCTTGAGTAGAGCTATCATGCACTTTGCCTTGATAGTCCATTTTCACTCCCATCTTTTTACCTTTATCTAACACATCATTTTCTGGAAGTTTATTTGAGATAGGTTACTAACTACTGTTGTCATAGTTAATATTAAAGACACAAAGGTGTGGTAGTCGTTGTGGCACTATTTTTTAATTGTCAGATTCCTCATTTTCTTTTTTAGCATGGTGGAAAGAAAATGGAAAATTTCCCTATGAGCAAAAAATATCTGCAACATCTGTATAGAAATAGACATAAATTTATAAGTTAAAAATGATAAATAATTTTTGTCTGAAAGTATATTTGAATTACTAGTTTGATATATTTGGTAATCTTTTGCCACATAACCCACATCAATATTGTTAATATTATCATGTTGTTTATGACAGTAGATGAGATTTTATCATTTTTCTATAGGTTATCTAAAATTGATGGTTTCTTTGTGTTATCCCAACCTGTAGAACAAATATGGATGTCTGCAACTGATTTGGCATTCTGCAACTCAAGAGCTTATAACCAGGCAGGGTTGCTGTTTTGTCATGACACACCTAGAACTGTCTTTCTAAACTATTTTGAAACCAGTTTCAAAGGATTTTTTTAAACTGGTTTAAAAGCACAACTCTAAATGCACCCACTCATAAGCAAAAGTTTTGACCTAGAAAAGGTGACTTATTTGACAAAATTCCATGTCACTTACCCAAAATTATAAATTAGGTTAATGTCAAAGAAACAGAGAATTTAAAAAGATAATTAATCTATATATAACAAACACTGTTTTAGAATTTTCCTCATAATGCAGAACATGAAAGATACCAAAAAGATTCTTTGAAAACAAAAAGCACAGTGCAATTTCAGAGTTCCAAATCCCCACTCTGAATTGCAATCTTCTAAACTTGAATCAAGTTGCAACTTTTCAGAATTCTTGGTTACAGAAATATTAGGATTCACATATGCACCCTTGACAACAATGCAATATCTATAAACTGGCCCATTCCTCCACTGAAGTTTAATTGCATCATTGTATCATCACAGAGAGGTAAGATTGGCTTTATGTACATCATAAAAAGATGAGAACAATGTAGTGATTTCCAAATGTTGTATATTGAAATGACATGATTTTTGCAATTTGTCAGGTACTGATCAGCTGCTCATGTGACAAACTGAGTAAGATAAATTATAAGCATTTAATTAATTTAATTACAGAATTGTTTATTAGAAATTCATTCATGAAAATAACTAAATAGATGGATACATGGATAACAAGGATATTGAGAACATTAACAGATAACTAACCTTGAATCTGTCTATACTTGCTGCCCAAAGTATCACCCAATCCTAAATCCCAAAGTCACAAAGCCACAAATCCCAAATTCAAAAAAATGAATTAATTTTCAAAAATTGGATATATACAGATTCAAATAACTGACATTATTTCGAAATTACAAAAGATTTATTTAATTCTCTACTCTATTTAAAATAGCATCAACATCAAAATTAAGATCACCATGTTGAAACCACCAAATTAAGGCTTGATTTACATGTTTTGTATCATAATAAGCACTTTTGTTTGAATGTTTAGTAGATGTTTATGTTGAAGTAGGTGTGGTTTCTGTATCTTGAGTCTCTTCCTCACTGATCAAATGTAAATATTCAAATGCATAGTTCTCTTGGTATTTTAGCTTTGCAATAGAGTGCTAAATGTGCTTTTAAAATTTATGGTTTTCCTCCATTTTCATGAAGTTGAACAGAAATTACAAACAGCACCTTTATGAGTCTTATGAGGATCATCAATGGAGGTAAAATATTTCCAAACTTTATCTTTTGGATGTCCATTAGTTATTGCAATATTAAAATTATCGTGATACCAAAAATTTGATAAATATTGTTACCAGAATTAGACTTTGACGCATAAATTTTGGCTGAACCTCTTAATTCCGGGCTAATTTAAATTTTATTTCTATTTTAATTATTTTTTTTTTCGTGATTTATTTTTATATTTATCACTTTCTATTTTTATTTTTATTTTTATTTATTATTAACTTGTATAATTATTTTATTTTATTATTATTATTATCGTTATTCATTTTATTATTCTTATTATTATTAATTAATTCGTAACACGTTAGTTAATATTTATTTAATTTATTTAATTACATTAGTAGAAATTAGTGACGATGCGCCCATATGGGCTCACGAACCCAAACGGGTGCGCGAGCCAATATGGACTCCAGAACCCAAATGGGATTATAATTAACTAACATGTATATAATGACATCAGGAAATTTTTCTGTAATATTATGCAAAAATCATACAAAAAATTGTGCGATTGTTACATTGAGTGTAAACATTACATAATTTTTTATGCAAATATTACAACTTTGCATATTAAAATTTATGGACGTAATATTACGGCGGGGAAAATTTTCTTGGTGGGCTTGAATTTGACCTACTGTAAAAATAACTTGCAAATAAGTTGATTAGTTTCGACTAAGGAAAAACTTGCAAATAAGTTAATTAGTTTCGACCAAGGAAAAACTTTCTTACAAGTTAATTAGTTTCGACTAAGGAAAACTTGCAAACAAGTTAATTAGTTTCGACTAAGGAATAACTTTGTAATAAGTTAATTAGTTTCGACTAAGAAAAACTTGTAAACAAGTTAATTAGTTTCGACCAAGAAAAACTAAATAAATTAAATAAATAAAGTAGTAATTATTTTATTTAACACTTTTATCTTTAAACAAAATTATTCGCTAATACCAAAATCAATTCGTTGATAACCTATTCATTCTGATCCACACACAAATACAAAAATAATTGTTATCACCAATTAAATACGCTCTCCCAAATTTAATCGGTGACAATATCATCATCATTTTTCTATTTTTAAGGCATTTGCTAGTTTCAAATTAAAGACAAAAATATTTCTTGGATTTGTTTTTAAGTAAAATAATTAATAACGAGAAGTTTCATTTTTTGTTATATTGTTAAATTGTTTTTAATACCAATAAAATAGAATAACAATCATTTAACCATCTAATCACTAATAATATAATTAAAGAATGTCTAGCCAAGCAAACGTTAATATTGTTTGATTATCTAATATTATGTTGTGTTGTTTAAATTAAAAAAACTAATTTATCCAAAACACTGATTTTTTGTCAGACATTCCATACATCAACTATTACCATACAAGAACCACTTCTCAGACAAAAAAAAAAAGAAATCAGGAGAGTAACGCATAACAATCGTAGCAACGCAATGTAACATAAGGTGAAACGTTTAAAAAACTAGAATATTTCCCGTACAATGCAAAATTGCTAAAAATAGTTAATTAGTAATTAAAGGTGAACGAATATGTAGAACACGGGAATAATCAAAATAAAATCAATCATACAGTATTAAGAATTTGACACGGGTTTCATATCCGTTTGATAAAAAGACAGATTATCTAGCTTCAAATTTCTATAGAAACTCATTTTTGAATAAAGTGATGATGGATGGTGATGGATGATTGATTGATTACAATTACTAATAATAAAATGGTTGGACGATGCAAGATGGTCCAAAGACATTATTGATGGTTTCGAAAGACTTGGATATGATGAAAAGGTAGTTAGTCGCTTCATCTATAACTCTTTATTTGAATTTTGCCACCCAAGAACAAAATATCGAGGATGCTTTTAAAGTTAGCTCCATCACCAATAACACAATCATATACGGATCCATTTTGGCGGTTCCTTGAAAGATTCAAAGAATATCGTAGTAATATGGCGAGTTTGGACATTTCTTGACCGTAGATTTGAATGGAAATTAACCAACTTTATTATTATTTAGAAATTAGCGTTGCGGTTAGAATGTTAGATGCAATGAAGTTGCTATTAATTAATTTAATTGTATATAAGAAGCTCAAATTCGACACACTTGTAGAATAACTTTGTAATAAAGTTTTAATAACTTTTAGATTAACTTAGAAATAAGTTAATAAATTAGTTTCGACTAAATAAAACGTTTTCTTGAATCATTAAACCAAAATTATTCGTAATAAAACTAATTCGTTAGTAATAGCCAATTCATTCTGATCATTAACACGCTCTCACCAGATGACATTAACATGAAAAAAAATATTGATTAGAAAAATTAAATACAGACTTTCTAAATTTTTTATTAAATTACACTAATATTGCTGTTGTTGTGTTTTATATTTATATATTTATAATTTAATAAATAACTATTAATCATTTTGTTTATGATTTAATAATAAATAAATAAATTAATTAATTAATTAATTAATTTGTATGTTTTTCTAGTTAAACTAATAATAATTTTATTTAAAAATGTTCTTTACGGAAACGGAAGTTTATTCCATCATCATTAGCAAGTTTACATTCAGCTTTAAGGCTTTTAGCTAAAGGAGTAGGACCACAATAATAGACACCAACATTTGTCGTTAAGCTGCTTTCTTTTCCTGGTAAATATCTACCAGTTTCAATCGCTTTTTTCAATTGGCTAAAGATATAATTAAAGTTTGGTCTGCCATAACAAGTTCTAGATTCTAAATCAGTTAACGGGTCATAAGAACTTGACACATCATTGATTATGATGTTTTGAATTGTCGATTCACGTAGTTTAGAGGTGAGATAAATGTGAACTTTTAAGAAACCTTCTTCTAATTGTGAATCCTCTAGTGTCTTTAATAAAGATTGGAACCATTCAAACGATCCAGTCTCACGACAAATCCAGAAAAATTCTACACGTTTAAGTTTTGAAGGACGTTTAAATTTATGTTGGTAGAAAATATTTTTAAGGATTGAAGCAAATGGAGTTACACCAATACCACAACCAATCAATATAGCAATTTCATTATTGAATACATCTTCAGCGGGAGTACCATAAGAACCATCAACTCTAATTAAAGGTAAAGCTTTCTTGAAGTCAAATTTATTATCAGCAGAAGAAGCTTCTTGACAGCCAAGTATTTCACCAAGTTTATTAGTGAAATCACCAACTTGACGAATGTGTAATGAGACATAAGGATCATCAGGTGCAGAAGTGATGGTGAAAGGATGCCATTGAAAGGAAGAGATGTCAGGAACATTTAAAAATAAATATTGACCAGCTTTGTAGGAAAAAGATGGTTTTTCAAATTGAATTTCAATCGCTCTTGAAGGATGGGCTATTACTTTTGTTATTCTCGTTGATTGACGAGATCTAACTTCGCGCAAAACACGTTCAAAAAAGTAGATTATTCCACCCCATATAGTCCATTCCCAAGAGAAATAACCCTTGCAAATTTTTGGTCCTTTTGTCTCGTCAGTTGAAACAAAGCAACCATTAGCATGTAAATATAAACAGAGCATAAAGAAGAAAGCCAAATGATGAGTATACCAAAAGGTTTCAAATGATTGTTGTCTCATACTGGCATGAGCAGAAGTGTACATCAAGACCATGATCAATAACATGAGATGCCCAGTAGTACCAGCCCAAGTGTTGTAGTGGAGATAATAAGCAGTGTATTTTCCTGCTTTTTCTAGTATAATAAAATTAATGTAATGAGCAAAAGTGTGCACCAAAGTCCAAAATAACATAGAGTAAGCACATTGACGATGGAACCAAAGATTTTCATCAAAAGGAATTATCCATTTCAATAAAGGTGTTAAACGTAAATATTTTATGATGTTTCTACAGACAGGTAAAAGTATCAAAGCACCATCATAAGCTAAACATAAACCAGCACCACGAGAAGTCCAAACTGAAAAGCCAATTGCGTTGAGATGAGCAAGTTCTGGGTCATTCTTTTGTTTGTAAAAACCATAAAAGAAAAGACCTATATGACTACTAAACCAAAAAATCCAAAAAGATAGACGTTTTGGTGCAAATTCTCTTTTTATGAAGGAGTCAGCCATTTTCCTGAAAATGTGTTGCGAGTATAATAAATAGATAGAATAGGGTGAAGGAGGAGAGTAGGAAGGAATGTGGATGGGTTATTATTAAATTGTGAATATTTTAAAATTAAAAATGTACTATCAAAGCACAAAAATATGAATAAAAACTAATAAATTTTGTATCGAGTGTTTTATTATATAATAAAAATTTTTAAAAAAAAATGAAAGGAAAATGAAACAAATATTTATAATAAATATATTAACAATCCATACTTGTAACAAATAATTATCATCCCATAAATTTTTTTTTGTATATATTAGTATCAATATAGCATAGTGGAAGTTTATCGTTACACGAATGTTATACGGAACTCATTGCTCCCTGAAAACTTCACTATCACTCTAAAATTGGAGATCAAAGTTCAGTTCCAGTTATCACTTACTTTTTATTGCCAGAATATTTTGCACAATATAAAAAAATTAGTGTAACATTTCAAATTACTATGCTTGCTTATTACGTAGCATTACATGAAATCGCACCAATCAATATATATTGTTTATTTTTGGCCGTTCGTGATTCGTCCGTAATTGATAACGTGGAGGACAACTCAGATAATTGACCGATCGATCCAGGTTTCCTCTTTATTTAATAATATTTATTATTTATTTTAAAAAAAACTACATGTTACAATTTAAATAAATAAAAGCGAATTATGGCATTATCAATAAATTCTGATTTCAAGTAATACAATTAGAGGTTTCTTTCCAGAACATCTATAAATAAAGTTCAATGTCATCTTGTGTGAGGATGCCTGACCCTAAACTGTTCGAGTTCGATGTGATTTTAGGTCTTTTTCCTCCGATACTCCAAGTCCTTCTCCATCTTCTGCATTATAAGATGACGTCCGCGTATGCGTGTGTTCGTTTAAGTTTCGTTTTTATTGAACACGAGCAGGACCAAATTTTCACATGATCATACAAACAAATAAATATCTGATTCTATTGTATATGGTGGCGGTGAATCAGATATTTATTTATTCGTAATAATAAAAAAGTTCTCCAGAAGTCCATATTCAGGTACGGAGCTGCCGAACTGAATATGGAATAGCTCCAAAAACTTCTTGTCGTGAATGTATTTCATACGACAATAGCATTTTTTATATCAAAATATGCAATTGACCGACAATTTGGGTTTCTCAACATCAAATTAGATGTTTTGAATCTGACTTTATGCGAAGGAGTATGATTATTATATTTATATACGGCATGTGGGTGATTTATATTTTATTATGATTTTTTTTTTTTTTTTTGAAATAATAGAAGAAGAAATTTGTATATTTTTTATATAAAAAATGTAAGCATTTTAAGCAAGAATTTACAATCTCGTTTTTTTGTTTAAAAAAATAATGGAATTCTTTGAAACTTTGTTATTGTATGACAATGACAATTGTTACTAATATGTAATTTTTTTAATTCGTAGAAATTTCTATACTTTGAATCAAATGTTATAAAACTGAGAATTCTTCTAAATACGGTTAAATTATTCTATTTTTTTTAAATATATAACAACAAATTAAAGAGCAGAATTGCTCTGCATATTTAGTGTCAAAAAGTTTCAGGGGTTCATATCTAAAGCACGACTTGTTCACACCAAAAATAAAAATATAAGTACTTTTTCCTTTTTTGCTTTGGCTAATTGTCTAGTCACTATACCATGCATGATATCTTTTTCTTAGTTTAGTTCTTGGCATTGTTATATTATCTATGTCAACAACTTCTGGTAATCCTGGTTTGTCACCATATTTTTTTATCTATTACTATTACTATGGTTTTAGCACAAAAAAGGCAACATTTTAACTAAATGGCACGTACAATCTAATACCAGTTTGATGTTGAAATTTTTAACGACAAAATAATTCAAAAAGCAGTTGATTACTTCACGAAGCTTGCCGAAGAACAGCATTGATCATAAACCTGATAAATTTGCCCCGGTCGACCCAACATCAACAGCTTTCGCTCATTCTACAGTGTCAATATTTACACTCGATTGCTCTTTAAACCTCATATTTATATCACTTTTTTCATTAACATCATGTCCTACAAGCACTGCTGCTTGATGAAATCCAAACTACCAATTTCCTTTATCAAAAATTTAATACATTTGTTCAAAAGACGATATAAGTTTGGAGTGAATTATAACGAGAAGGGTGGCACAAAGGATTCTGGTTATATATATAGATGATGCAGAAGGTGAAGCTGGTGAATTGGCAAAGTGAGATGCGCATATGGTCAAAATTTAGATAAGTCGAATGAATTGAAAAAGGATCTTCTTCCCTTACAGGGACCCACACCCACATGTATCAATTTAATTTTTAAAAAGTTCAATGAGTTTTTATTATTTTTTGGAGGGATGTTTATTTTCTTATAGACGAGAGAATAAAGACTTATTACCCGTCATCTCTTTAAAACCAACTATTCCATTTTTTTTGAACCCTATATGATTTTAGGTATAATAATAATAGCAATTTTTTGCTTTCTTGTTTGAACCATCACACCCATTGCATGGGTTTCCTCTTCCCTTGATCAACTTCAAAATAATTGGTCAACTTTTTGAATTCGTCTTCCGTCCGTCTTTTGAAGCAACTGATCTGTTTATG